CCCCCCCCCCCCCCCCCCCCCCCCCCCCCCCGCCCCCCGGGCCCCCCCCGATCCCGGGGGAGCCCCTGGAGCCGCCCCCGGACCCCTTCAAGAAGATCCCGTCGCTCTTCGAGATCGTCGTCAGGCCCACGGGGCAGCTGGCCGAGAAACTGGGCGTCAGGTGGGCACCTGGGGGCACTTGGGGGCACCTGGGAGTACCTGGGGGCACCTGGGGGCACCTGGGGACAGGGGAGGGCACTTGGGGACAGAGGAGGCCCACGGGGCAGCTGGCAGAGAAACTGGGCGTCAGGTGGGCACCTGGGGGCACCTGGGCACACCTGGGGGTACCTGGGGGCACCTGGGGACAGGGGAGGGCACCTGGGGGCACTTGGGGACAGGGGAGGCCCATGGGGCAGCTGGCCGAGAAACTGGGGGTCAGGTGGGCACCTGGGGGCACCTGGGCACACCTGGGAGCACCTGGGGGTACCTGGGGACAGGGGAGGGCACTTGGGGACAGGGGAGGGCACCTGGGGACAGGGGAGGCCCACGGGGCAGCTGGCGGAGAAACTGGGCGTCAGGTGGGTACCTGGGGGCACCTGGGGGCACCTGGGCGCACCTGGGGGCACCTGGGGACACCTGGGGGCACCTGGGCACACCTGGGGGCACCTGGGGGTACCTGGGAGTACCTGGGGGTACCTGGGGACAGGGGAGGCCCACCAGGCAGCTGGCAGAGAAACTGGGCGTCAGGTGGGCACCTGGGGGCACCTGGGGGTACCTGGGGGTACCTGGGCACACCTGGGGGCACCTGGGGGTACCTGGGGGTACCTGGGGACAGGGGAGGGCACCTGGGGACAGGGGAGTGCACCTGGGGGTACCTGGGCACAGGGGAGGGCACCTGGGGGTACCTGGGCACACCTGGGGACAGGGGAGGGTATCTGGGGGTACCTGGGGACAGGTGAGGGTATCTGGGGGCACCTGGGCACACCTGGGGTCATCAGGGGACAGGGGAGGCCCACGGGGCAGCTGGCCGAGAAACTGGGCATCAGGTGAGGGCACCTGGGGGTACCTGGGCACAGGGGAGGGCACCTGGGGGTACCTGAGGGTACTTGGGCACACCTGGGCACATCTGGGGACAGGGGAGGGCACCTGGGGCACCTGGGCACAGGGGAGGGCCCCTGGGCACACCCGAGGGTACCTGGGGGTACCTGGACACAGGGGAGGGCACCTGGGGCACCTGGGGGTACCTGGGCACAGGTGAGGGCACCTGGGGGTACCTGGGCACAGGTGAGGGCACCTGGGGGTACCTGGGCACAGGTGAGGGCCCCTGGGGGTCAGGTGGGCACAGCTGGGGGTCAGTTGTGCCCCGCTGGGGGTCAGTTGTGCCCGCTGTTCCCAGCCCTAATTCCCGTTTTCCCGCTGTTTTCCAGGCACCCGGGGCCGCCCCCCCCGCGGTTCCCGGGCCCGGGAGGCCCCCCCGGGCCCCTCCCCGGCCCCCTGCACCCGGAGCTGCCCCCCGAGCTGCCCCCCGAGCTGCACCCCGACCTGCACCCCGACCTGCACCCCGACATCCCCATGGGACCCCCCCTGGGCCCCCCCGGGCCCCCCCTGCTGCCCTTCGGGGGCGGCCCCGAGGAGTCCCCCCACCCCCACCCCGGGCTGATCCCGCCGGGACCGGCACCGGGATTCTACGAGTCCTTCTACCCCCCCCCGGACGGGATGGACATGGAGCCCGGGAACATGGGCGGCTCAGGTGGGAAAACCGGCAACGGCCCCGAGCCCCGCTGCTCCTCCCAGATCCGTGTGCTCATCCCAAATCCTGCTGCTCATCCCAGATCCGTGTGCTCATCCCAAATCCTGCTGCTCCTCCCAGATCCGTGTGCTCATCCCAAATCCGTGTGCTCATCCCAGATCCTGCTGCTCATCCCAGATCCGTGTGCTCATCCCAAATCATTCTTCTCATCCCAAATCCTGCTGCTTATCCCAAATCCTTCTTCTCATCCCAGATCCGTGTGCTCATCCCAAATCCTGCTGCTCATCCCAGATCTGTGTGCTCATCCCGAATCCGTGTGCTCATCCCAGATCCTTCTTAACATCCCAAATCCTGCTGCTCCTCCCAGATCCGTGTGCTCATCCCAAATCCTGCTGCTCATCCCAGATCCTGCTGCTCATCCCAAATCCTGCTCCTCAGCCCAAATCCTTCTTAACATTCCAAATCCTGCTGCTCATCCCAGATCCGTGTGCTCATCCCAAATCCTGCTGCTCATCCCAGATCCGTGTGCTCATCCCAGATCCGTGTGCTCATCCCAAATCCTGCTGCTCATCCCAGATCCGTGTGCTCATCCCAGATCCGTGTGCTCATCCCAGATCCGTGTGCTCATCCCAGATCCGTGTGCTCATCCCAAATCCTGCTGCTC